AGTGAAAGCTGAATTATCTTTCTCAAAGAGATGTACGGTAGAAATAAATGTACCTACCTAACAAATAATTCGATATACTGTTGAGATTACCCTATTCCTGAGACATTTTGCCCGAGATATATATATATATATATATATATATATATATATATAGAGAGAGAGAGAGAGAGAGAGAGAGAGAGAGAGAGAGAGAGAGAGAGACTTGTGAATGGGATTCTGCAAATTCATTGCGGCTGACCTCCTCTACCCTTTATTTTTATTCTATCTTGACCCTAGTGCGGGACTGAAGGTTGCTTACAATAATTATACAGCTAAATCTTTTTTCTTTGTTGAAGAGTTACAAATGTAATTAAACTATCAATAAAATGAAAAGCTGTTCAAAACAACTCTCCAAAAGAAGGACAACCAATGTAAGCATCACAGCACATGAAAAGTTATTTTCCCCAAGCTGTCAGAGTTTAAAGGTCTGCTGAAATAGAATGGTCTTTGCATGCCTACATCAGAATCAGAGGACGATACCATTCTAGCATATTTATGGGCGCATCTATAATGTAGAATTTTTCAACGGTGTTTTTATTACAAGTTAAGCCCAATTACAGAAAAACATCAGTTCTTAATTTTGTTCTTATGGACTTAATGGAAACTACTTGAAAATGCTACCTCTTATACCTGTATTTGAGTAAAGTCTTCTGAGTGCATGCTATGTATATTGACTTAAAAATGAGTCCACATTAACTCACACTCTTTCTGGTATTCTCAGGATTGCATCTTTGGTTAATTGGGGTGAACATGGTGTAGTGGTTTAAATATTAGACTATGACTCTAGAGAACACCATTCAAATTCTTGTTTGGCCATAGAAACCCATTGGCTGACCTTGGGCAACTCAAACTATCTCGGCCTAAGCAGAAGGCAAAGGCCACTGAACAAATCTTGTCAAGAATAGGTTCACTTTAGGGAAACCATGAATCAGAAATTACTTGAAGGCACACAACAGCAAGGCTTTCTAGTATCTTGGAACCATTTTGTGCTGTAAAATGGTTGGGGAACCCTTGATCTTCTTGCTATTTTAGGTAACTCTTACCTAAGTAGTATAATCAATGGGAAGGAATTATGGGGGATGCAGGTTCCTGCTTTAAAACCAGCAAATTAGTTTGATACAGCATTTCTTCAAATCTCATCCCATGAGCAGGGGAAAAGTGGATGGAACCATTTTACTCTGTTCCCTCCTGTCGAGGACAGTCTTCTGGAATGACTAGCCATACTATGTCCTTTCCCCTTCAAGGTCCTTCTTTCCCCCACTTTTCACTGTTTGGAGTTGGGAAGCACCTGACTCCTCAAAACGCATTCAGGGCTCTGTTTTTACACAGAGTTCCACTGGAACTGCCCATTGTCATGTGATGGCCTCCATGGGACTCCTGTGGGATTCTGTTTTCAAAGCACATGGAAATGGAGCCCAAAATCTGTGGGATGAGATTTTTTGTGAATACAGGCAGATCACAAAGTATATGTCTTATGCATATGTTAGGCCCAATATCTTCAAACATTCAAAAAATTCAAAAATGGGGTGGGGGTGGGGTGGGGAGAGAATTGCTTAGTGAGTGAACTCCATCCCAATAACCCACCTTTTACTTTCTAAAACTGCCTCTTCCCAGGTCCATTTACTGGGCAGTGGAGAATTTAGGGGAGAGAAGTGTCCAACTATGTTCCTGTAGCTCAGTGCTTTCAACCTCTGGTCCTTTAGATGTTTGGGACTTCATCTCCCAGAAGTCTCAATCAGTTTGGCCAATTATCAGAAATGCTGGGACCTGAAGTCAAAACCCACCAGGAAAACCAAAAGTTGGGTACAACAACTGTAGTTGAACACATCGCAATGACATGGTTCTCCAGGACCTCTGAAGTACTCCAAGGCATCCTTGCTAATAAGGAACATTGGACAATTAGAGGAGTAAATGAAGTTACTGAAAAAACTTCAGACAAGCAAGAAGAATTCTGTTTGTTAAGTACAAAGTCGCGTAGCCCTTTCTAAATGCATTGATCTCTACCTGTAAAAATACTTCATATAAGTATAGTGCCCCTTTGTGGTACTGATAGGAAACTGCACTTTATTGATTCTATATAAGATATATAGTACTGTTCTGTACTATATATCTTGGACTGGCGTGCACTGGTCCATGAGGACATGAAGAGTTGGAAGTGACTGAACAAATAAACAACAACAGTACTGTTTTTCTATGTTAAATTGTCAAATGAAAGAGTAAAATATAATGTCATAATTCATGATTCCATCAAACATCTCTGTTTGCATGAAAAGCATTATTCTGTGTTTAAATAATGAAGATCGAGACCAAATCAGTTATAATTATTTGTTTGAAGAATTTGTAAAGTTTTCCATATTAAAACTTCTGGATTGGTATATTTAAACAATCACATACTACATTTTTAGAAGTAATTCATTCCTGTCACTCAGTTATATGTTTCTGGTTTGTTGCTATTACTCATTAAAAATGTTTAAAGGTAGCTTATTGAAATACACTTGTTGGTTTTGGTTACTTTTGTCCTCCCACCCTAACACCATGGGACCAATTTATGGACAATAACAATGTGTCATGCCTTTCAAAATCACTGTAAATGTGGGGAGAGGGATATGATACTTTTTTGTCCTGATACTTAGCACTTTCTGGAATCTAAAGAAATATACTGTAGTAGTGAAAAGCAATAGATTTACCAGGGCATGTTTTGCCTATAAAATAGAACTATACATGGCAACTAGATGAAATGTGGGAAACATTGTCTACAGCTTTAAAAGTCGGTATCTTAATGCAGATTGACACGACTTTAACTGCTATAGTTCAATGCCATGGAATCATGGGAGCTGTAATTTCACAAAGGTTTTAGCCTTCTCTGCTCAGGAATGCTGGTGCCTTCCCAAACTACAGATCTCAGGATTCCATAGCATTGAGCCATGGAAGTTGGTGGTGTCAAACTGCATTAATTCTACAGTATAGATGCATACATTACAGATTTAGTTCTGAATAGATTCTAAATAAAACACTGCTCTGTAGGATTAAAATGTGAATTGGAGGTGGAGTCAATATGACTCATGAATGTTTAATGATGTCCCACCAACACTGCACTATAATGCGATGAAGGGCGTGCATTATTCTGAGGATGTCTTGGGATAACAGTGGTTTCCAACCTGTGGCCCATAGACCAGTGGTCCACAAGAACTAAAATATGGTATGTGGCCTCACCGTTACTACACCGTGCCAACGAGAGTGACTGGACTCTCACAACCCTCTTATAGTATCAAGGCTTATTAAATACAGTTTTCTGTGGATGATCAGAGAGTGACTACTGGATGGCATATGTTCTGTATCAGAAATTAGAGCTGATCTGGTCTAGCCAATGCAATTTTCCGAATCACCAAATCCAATCTAAAGTTGACTAAAAACGGATTCATAACCCTCATAATGTTGGAGAGTTGTCCCTGGTCAAAGTGATCCCTGGTTGAGTGGTCCCCGGTCAAGTGGTCAAAAAGAAAAGTTGGGAACCACTACTTTAAAACATCAAAAGTGGGCTCCTTGCTGAGCCTTGAGTGTTCCCATTGCTGCTTGGCACCTCTAAATGATGTAATAGAGCTTTTGATAGGGGAGGGAGTAATTCCACTTCAAAAGCTTTGTGCATCAACCAGCATAGGGAATGCTCCAGGATTTGTAAGAAGCCTATTTTTAATGCTTTAAAGGCAGGGAAGGGGATGAGGGAGGTCAGGGGTGTGGTGGCCATACCCACCTTTCCACCGTACTAGTTGCGAATCGGCATGAATGGGCATGTGGACACCCCCTCCACAAAAAGTGAAGTTTTGGCTCCCTGTGTGGTTGTCAAATGCATGGGCAATCGGATATTTAAAATCCAGTTCCCTGAACATTTTCTGTAGAGTGAAAAAGCCCTGACTGAAACTAGATCTAACCCATATCTGATACAAATTCCAAAATTTTATTATGGATAGAAACCTTGTTAAAGTGCAAGATACAAAGCTTTGAATGCCATTTGAAATTAGTGAGGAAAAACACCTTTAAAATATGATTTCGTTAACAGCTGAAAATGTAATAGACACATTATTAAACTAATTCCACAGACAACTGAAGGATTTGACTGAAGTTTTATTATTTTAGCAATGTCACAAACAATATAAAACATAATCCAGATGATATGCAGATAATACAGTCAATCACTTCTGAACCAACAAAGGCTGAGATCTTAAAGCTAATTCTAAGGATTTACCACCACCACCAACACTTCTGAACTTAATGAGTTCTTCTTCTGAATAAACATGCCTAGAATTGTGTGTTAAGAAACTGCTTCTGCATTCTAGCAAAATGAGGGTTTCTGTTTTAAGCTACTCTCACACAGAAACTCTTCTTTAATCAGCTATGTAAACTTGTTAACAAAAAAACTTTTTATAAAAATTGATAAATCTATAAAAATACACCTATATCTATAAATCTACCTATAAAATCACTGAGCAACCTTGCTGTTCCATTTTAACATACATACAATTTGAATGAACTTGTCAAAACTCAAATGATATCCATGTGGTACAATTCCATGTATGGTTGGCCTGACATATTTGTGGATTTTACTTTTGCAGATTTGATTAAAATGATCACTATAGAAATCTCTAGGTATATCAGGCCTGCACAACCTATGAAACTCTAGAGGTTTTGGATTCAGCTCTCAGAATTCCTGCCCTTTGGACAAGTTGGTTGGTGTGTCTGGAAGGACCTGGAGGACCAAAGGTTGTGCAGACCCGAATTATATGATCAATATCTGGTAAAGACATGCTGGAGGACCTAGAGATTTCTAGATAAAATGTTTCTCAAGGAATCTCTAGGTCCTCCATTGTGATTTTATGGTCAATGTCTGGTGGAAGTTAACTGTAGAATCATACTGGAGGATGCAATGCTTCCAAGAGACGTGTTCTATTAGGTTAAAAAAACCAAACTTTTTTCTTTACATTTTTTTTCAGTTTCATGGGGGGGGTCTTATGTACCTAAGATACATCCCTTTTCCCATGGACATACTTGTAAGATAGCTGCATCTAAGAGGTATTTAAAGATCGCTATGGTATCTTTCATCTAGTATGAAATGATGGGCTCTGTAGTGCAGAGTTGGGCTGGACCTTCTTTCTCACTGGCTGAAGTCTGTCATTATAACCATTGTAATGTGAGATAACCTTTGCATGAGATAACAGCAGGTAAAGAAGAGAGCTGTGTTGTTTGTACACCCCTAGCAGGTGGTTCTCCTTGGTTCACATTGTTGGAGACTGGTGGTGACAATGTCATAGCTCCCACTTAAAGTTCAGTCTGAATGAGGCGTAATGCTTTCTTCATATTCTCTATTACTGCAAAAGGAATACAGTAAAGTGAATAAAGTGAGGTAGCATAATAATTCTAGAAAATCATGAAAAGAAATATATCCATATATACTCGAGTCTAATGTGCTGTCAAATCTAATATGCACCTCCATTTTCAAAACCCTTAAACTAACAAAAGTATTTGCTGAATAATGTAATGGGCAGCAGCAAAAGGTGCACTTTTTGTAATATTCCCATTACAACAGAGTCTGCCTACTTAGAATTCTTTAAGAACAATTGTGTTGGAACACTATAGCTTTCAGCAATAGAAAAGAAACCGGGTGCATCTATGCTGTAAAATGAATCCAGTTTAACTGCCTTGGTTCAATGCTATGGATTCATAGGGATTGTAGTTTTACAAGGCCTTGAGCTTTCTCTTCCAAAGGGTATGGATGCCTCATAGAAATACAAATCCCAGGATTACATAGCATTGAGCTATGACAATTAAATTACAGGTGACATCCCTCAAATGGAAGCTCCTGGTCCTCTTGAAGCAGCTTCCTCTATTGTTTTAGCTCAGCACTAAGATTACCGTATTATGCTTTTCTGATGTGCACCCTCATTTTGGGAGGGTGCAAAACAAAAGGTGAGGGTTAGATTCGAGTAAATACAGTACATAATGTAATGAAATAACTCGTAATTTCACTCATTAAGATACCTGGAAATAATGTTGAACCTTACCAAAGTGACTTAGCAAGTAAGAAAAGAAGAATGAAAAATATTAAACACCATAAAGATATAAGATTTAAAGATCTACAAGTAAAATAGAGAAGAATTTCAGTCAAAAACTGAGGAAGGACTGTTACAGACATTTGTGAAAATAAACTAAATGGTTAGTTGTCCTAGTCATTCCAGTGGGGAACTTCCCTAGATTCAGAGGCAGACCTAACCCAGAAGAAAGGGAAGGATGAGAAGGTATTTCTTATTCCTCATACAGAAGTCTATCAGACTGGCAGACGGAGCTTATTTTGACACTGTTTGAAGGACTGTGACAACACCTCAGACCAACAAGCTAATCAAGGCCTCCTGCATATAGTAGACTCATTAAATCAATTTGATTTACGTATATGTTGACTATTGATTGAATGGGTGTATCCATCTGGAGTTTTGGAGTACGGTGCCATCTAAACACAGATGACAACTCTACTACTCCTTTGCACCTAATGACAAGGAAGCTGTCCTGACCTTAAACCAGTGCCTTCCATGGACTGGATGAGGGTAAACAAATTGAAACTTAATCCAGACAAGACAGAGGTACTTCTGGTCAGCCAGAAGGCAGACCAAGGAATAGAGATTCAGCCTGTGCTTGATGAGATCACACTGCCCCCTGAAGAGACAAGTCCATAGTTTGGGGGTTCTCCTGAACTTGGCACTGAACCTGGAGGCGCAGATGTCAGCGGTGACCAAGAGGGCCTTTACACAATAAAAACTTGTGTGCCAACTACATCTGTTCCTTGGGAAAACAGATCTCGCTACAGTGCCTTAATGACATCCCACCTGGATTACTGTAACATGCTCTATGTGGGACTGTCTCTGAAGAGTGCTCAGAAATTTCAGCTGATCCAAAGAGATGCAGACAGGTTGCTAACTGGGGCTGGTTACAGGGAGCAGACACCCCCCCCCCCATTGCAGCAGTTCCACTGGCTGCTAGTCTGTTCCGGGGCAGAATTCAAAGTGTTGGTTATGACCCTTAAAGCCCTAGATTGTTCAGGTCCAGGCTATTTGGCTGACCACATCCCCTTGTACAAACTTATCCAGGTCCTGAGATCTTCAGGAGAGGCTCTTCTCTTGCTCCCACCTCCTCCATCTCAAGCTCTGTTAGTGGGAATGAGAGAGCGGGCCTTCTTGGCGGCTACCCCTTGACTCTGGAACTCCCTGCTCAGGGAAGCCAGAATGTTCCCCTCCCTGCTGCCCTTCTGGCAGCAGGCAAAAATCTTTCTATTCAGACAGGTTTTTAAAGATGGAGGTATTTCAGATCTAGTCAAGGGTGCTGTGGTTTTAAACTCTGAATATATTTGATGGATTTTAACTATGATTTTTTAAGTGCTGTTTGTTTGTAATTCTATTTTAATGGTTGCATATTTGTATATTTTAAATGGTATACTAATTCTTTTATGTCAAGCTGCCTTGAGTCTCTTTGGGGAGACAAAGTGGGATATAAATAACAATAACAACAACAACACCCTAGTTGGGACAACAGTGAGCCTGGTGGCGGCTATACTACTGCTCCCTTCTACAGTGTTCTGCATTTACAGCTGAAGTATTGTTTAGCAGAGAGCCAGTATGGTTTTGTGGTTTGAGTGTTAGACTAGGATTCTGGAAGACTAGGGTTCAAGTCCCCATTTAGCAATGGACACCCATTGGTGACCTTGGGGAAATCACACTCTCAGCCTCAGACACTTCCTTCCCCTTCCCCAAAATCTTGCCAAGAAAACCAATATAGGTTCAGTTTACAGTCACCACAAGCAAAAAATGACACGAAGACACAAAATAACAGAAGTGGAAGTTGGGAGTGAGTTCATTGGGAATTAATTCCAAATCAGTGGGTATATGATTGTGGGCTGTGTTCAAGTAACAAAGTGATTGCTGTTTCTATTGTTAATATGATTTGGCTTCAGCTGTTGTGCTATACCGGTGGAATAGGTACTAAGAAGAATATCTTCTTTCAGATTGCACAAATCTCATCTTTGCAAACAACATGAATTTCTACTGGAGGAACTGAAGCAATTGATGGTATGCACTATTTTACACATTGAACAATCCAGAATCATGGTAGCTGAGTGAGACTTTGAATTCTAAGAATACATTATAATATAGAAACCAATAATTTCCTACCTTTTCATGCTAACAAAAAGGAATCTGTTTCCTCACGTTGCCTAATGGTAGGGCCAACCCTGGGTGGAGGCCTAACATGAGAGCCTCTAATATGGGCAACACAAACATAAAATTAATTATGAAAAAAACATACACACTGGCAGGTCTTGGGGCTCATAAGTGTAGAGTCGGTTAGAGTATCTTCCTGTGATATCTGCTCTCACAGTGAGAGAAGGATCTGGGAAAACAAACAAAATGTTATCACTTCTGACGTTATAGCATCTTATTTTGATTTCAGATAGATTAGAGAATTAGAAGTTTGATGATATTTTAATTACATCAATTTTAGTGTTATTTAGTATAAAGGGCTGATTCCTATTTGCTATCCAGCCAACTCATACTTTGATGTTTTGCAAGTGAGAGGAGCTATAGATTTCTGAAAACAGGAAGTTACCAGTTAGTTCTGCCTGAAGCAGACTTATTGAAATGAAAAGGATTTGAAGGTTATGACTAACTTATGGCCTACTGATTTTGGTGGCTCTATATTGTGAGTCAGAATGATATAGTGGACATTAACTCTAGAGACCAAGGTTTGAATCCCCGGTTGGACATAGAAACTCATTGGTGACCTTGGGCAAGTCACATTCTCATGGCCTCAGAGGAAGGCAAAGGCAAACCACCTCTGAACAAATTGTGCCAAACCTTGAAATAGGTCAGTCAGAAGTGAACTGAAGGAATATAACAACATTTTAGTTATGGTTGATATTTGGTTTAGTACAGTGTCTCTGATAGAAGGTCCAGCAGAAAAAAAATTGTAGAGAAATACTGCACATATATCAGTTTTATGTTAACATTGTTATTAGTAGGCAGTCCGGCAGTTTCTGCTTGATGTATTTTATGCATCAGCTGGAACACTGAGAAATGTAATTGAATTTTAAAATGATTGCATTAATTCTGTTTTACTGGGCATAACTTTCTCGGTAACAATGATCAGTGATGAGTGAAGTAACCCTAGCTTTTGTTGCAGATTCATGAGCTGGCACTGTTGTGAAATTCTTGCCATGTGTTACAACCAGGTATTATGAAAAAAGAAGACATCCCAGCAGCACTTTATAAATGTCATTAACTTATGGCAAAGGAGACTGGTGTTAGAGTTAGCTAGGACAAAACTAGATAATATTTGACCTTCTACCTGTTTGCAGACTGCAATTTACATCATTCATCAACTTTCTAGGTATGCTGCTTAGTTCTAATGGGCATTAAACTACATGTGATCCTCCTAGCCAGTTAACAAGTAAATGTACTACAGCAGGAGTTCTCAAACTTTTTCAGCTGTGGAACCCATTTTGAAGGAAAAGTTTCATGGAGCCCCAAGAAATGATTATATATTATATGTTGTATATATCAGGCATGGGCAAACTTTAGGACACAGAGGTCATACTGTGTTTTAAAATTTGACACACAGGCTGGGCTGGGCCAGTGGCAGATGGATGGTGAATGTTTGTGTGAACTCATGAACAAATTCTAATGCACACTGCACATATCTCATTTGCAATGCAAATAAAAATAAAAATAAATGCAATACTTACAATGAAAAATAAATTTGACCAATATAAACTTAACAATATTTCAATGGAAGACCCCAGGAGCTGCAGTGGGTCCCGTGAAATCTAGGGGCCATGCTTTGACCACATTTGACTTACAGCATCCGCCAAGAGTTTCCATTGTCAGATAGATAGCTGAATTTGATACATACCTACAAACATAATTCGAGGCACATATTGTCCATCAGGTGACAAGTTCTTGTCTGTGGTTTCATGCTGGCAAGGAGAGTTAAAAGTTAAATTCAAAGAGCTGGCTTCAGCCTATAAAGCCCTAAAATGGTTCCAGCCTAGCTTACCGATCTGAACTCATCTCCCCCTATGAACCATCTCAGAAATTAAGATTTTTTGGGGGAGATGCGTCCCACCTCCTTTGCAAGTGTGGTTGGTGGGGACGAGAGACAGGGCCTTCTCAGTGGTGGCCTCTCAACTGTTGAATTCCCTCCCTAGTGACATCAGATTAGCCCCCTCCCTCCTGACTTTCAGGGAAAAATTAAAAACTTGGATGTGGGACCAAGCATATGGATGAAGTGCAATATGTGAACATGGAATGGTGCAATGATAACTGGAATGGTCTGAAGTACAATATTGGATGATGTGATTTTAATAATTTTAATGTAGATATGTTTTTAGCAGGTGCTTTAATGTATATGTTTTTTATTCGTTGGATATGTATTGTATGTAAAGTATGGCATCGAATTCTGCCTTGTGCACCGCTCTGAGTCCCCTTCGGGGGTTGAGAAGAGTAGGATAGAAACATGGCAAATAAATAAATAAATACATAACAATTTCAACAAATACTACTGAATTGGATATCTGTCAATGATCCCACCCACACTGAATAGTAGATGTAATATATGTATTATCTCTCTGTACCATGAGGTTGAGCATGACAAAATCGTTCTGACACATCTCTTGTATTTCTTGGTTTTCTGCAAAAACCTTCTTCAGTGCTGCAGAAAATGAAAGAAGATCATAATTTCAAACTGGAAAAAGAGCAAACCAAAATATTATGCAGTTTCAACAAAGCAATATGTAACAGACCTAGTTATTTTGCCTTAGTTCTGGGTTTTTCTCTACAGTTTTAAGACAGTGAAACATAATATATTCTGTATTAAGAACTACACATATAATTCATTCAAAGGATTGTTGTAGGCCATACAGGCCCATCAAAAGCAATTAAATCCATTGTGTCTTCTCTAACTACAGTTAAAGGTTTATTTACACTGGGCCCAAAACTCAGGCCCACTAAGGATGAATGGACCACTAGCTGTCTTCATGATTGCAATGATTCCCATGTTTTCTTTTCTACACCAACTTTGCCCTGACTTAAGCAAAGTCAGATGATTCTCCAGAGTTTGCTAGAAACTGGAGTACCCTAGGGCTTTGTGGCAGTCTTGATCAGGTCCAGATCAGCCAGAACAGTGCAGAAAAAGGTAATAAATCATGTTCATGTTTCCACCACCACTCCTAGTCAGCTACCAAAATTTGTCCGAGATCCTAGCCATTACAGGTGCCTCTGCTGATGTCAGAATGGGGTGCCTATGCAGGCTGAAAGAAAGTATCTATAATTGCCAGGAGCTAGAATGGAAAACTCAATCAGGTCTATGGCTGGCTAGGAGTACCAGCAGCAGCAACTTAGGTGACAACTCAACTTGGCAAATGCAGCCTTGGCCCTTTAGATTATGGTCCAGGACTCAGCACTAATTGCTGAATCGTGGGCTTCACTGAGGGCAGATTTACATCAGGCTAACTTGCATGGTGTAGATATGCTCTAAATCTCAATGTAGCCCAATAAATGTCTGCAAAGGAATTCTTATTTCAAAGTTAGAAGTACATGCAGGCACAAACCTTCCATACCAATATTTCTCCTTCATGGTGTCTGGTGAAGTAAGCACACGTGATAGTTGATGCACCTGTGCAGCAACTATCACATGTGCTAATGTCACAGATCACCACTCGAAGAAACATGGTTACAGGTATGCAACCACCATTTCTGTTAGATGTCCATGATTGCCAATTTTGACTTTGTCTTAGTTGTTATATCTGTCCCTACTGGAATTCACGTATTGGAATTCAGGGAGCAGACCACTTTGCTAGATGAATACATTCACCCAATGGGATCAGCAATACACAACATATAGTTGGGTGCTCAGTTCACTAGCCAAAATGGAGATCCAGACTCAAAAAGCCTCTTCATATGCTCTTTTCTAGCTGATATGATGATTGGTGTCTAGTTAGGCAACCATCTTAAGTTTTAACTGAAAGGCCTTTTCCTCTAGGCTTTGAGAAGAATATTGAGGCCAAGTAGACAAAAAGGGCATTATTCCAAGCAAATTCTTCAGCGATGGATGCTAAGCAACCGCACTCATCTCTGCATCTGGTTACAAAGCTATAAGGACAGAACAATATGAATGATGAAAAGTATTCAGTCTGTGGCTTGATAGTAAATTCATGCTGTATCACCTAAGAGAAATCTGCTTTGTATCATGTTCCATTTTGTTGAAATACAGAGTAAAGTCTTTCTTCCATACATATTTTTCTACTTTAGTAGTCCTTAAAGATTTTGCAACTATTGTGTGGTTGGAAAATGCTAACAATTCCTTATACATCAGTTTAGTAACCTGCTTGGGAATTTGGAGCATGCTTAGGAAATTGGGAAAGGTACTTTTGGAATCCCCAGCCAGCATTTCTAGTAGGAAAGTAAATAAGCAATTTTCTTCCCTTCCCATCCCATTTATGCTTAAGGCAGCTGCTTTTCTTTTTCCTAATGGTTGCTTGAGCTCGGCTACTCCATATTTTAATAAAAATATTATTTTATTCTCAAAAAGGTTCCGGGGCTGGTATCTATAAAAGTCTAAGTGAAACCAGCAAATTTGGCATTGGTTCTAGTTGCAATCATTTATTCCTAATCACTTATTCTCCAATAGTAAAAAGAAATGACTATTTATGGACTGAAATCTCAACATAAAAAACAGAGAGTTCAAAGAATTGTTTATGTCTAATGTACATTGTAGAGAAAGTCATTTGAAATGAACTAGTATGTTTTACCTTGACAATATTGACAGTCTTCCAAATGGTGAATAACCATCAGTGGCTTATTACTTTTTCAAAGAGAAAAATAGATTAGTTTGAATGCAAAAACATTTCTTTGTAATACAAGATAATTGCCACGAAGTGAAACAATTAGGGGAAAATGTTAGCAAGGAATAAAGGAGTATTTAAAAAGGGGGGCTGGCAGAATTCCCAAGGGAATACACACACAGCAAATGTAAGTCCTCTAATTGTGGATTGTTTTCAAAATAATTCTCTCTGTGATGCTAGAAATTTGGGACTTGAAGATAAATTTCATTTGAGAGGGACAAAATTTTCATTTGAAGGGGCAATGCCCTCATCCCCACAAATGATATCTCTGGCTATAGGGAGAAAAGCTTCTAACTAAAAGCACATGATGCCTCTACTAAAGCAGCTCAATTGGCTGCTGATAAGTTGCTGGTACCAATTCAAGGTACAGGTTATGTCCTAAAAAGCCCTAAACAGTTTGGGCCCTGCCTGTCTTCGTGATCTTACCCTATGAATCAGCGTGGACTCTAAGATATGCAGGGGAGGAAATCCTCTTGCTTCTGCCACCATCACAACATGGTTGGTGGGGACAAAGGAGAGGGCCTTCTTGGTGGTGGCCCCCCAACTTTGGAACTCCCTCCCAAAATAGATCAGGCAAGCCCCCACACTGTTCTCCTTCCATTGGGACCTGAACACCTGGATGCTCCAGAAAGTTTTCAAGAATGATTAGTCCCTAGGCCCTTCCCTAGGCCATCAGATAGTACTCTGTTCTGCACTTTATCCACTTCCTCGGCTCTATGATACACGTACTCTCCCTTGCTCAGTTCTTTTATAGTTACCATGTCTATTTTGTAATCCTGACCATTGATGTTTTGAATCTGTCTCATGGATCTATAATGGAATTGGGTTTTTTTTTGTTTTTTAACAAATGTTTTAATAGGATTTTATGGTTAATGATGCTTATTTTAATTTGTCTGTCTGGTTTTCCTTTCTGGCAATTGAATGTTTTGCCATATATGTTGGAAACTACCCTGAGTCCCCTTGAGGAGTTAGGGCAGTATATAAATAAATATTATGATGATGATGATGATGATGATGATTATTATTATTATTATTAAGGCGAAATAAGAACATTACTTCTGACACAAAGCCTGCCAATTCCCCAAACTTCTAGCATTTCAGAAAGCGAGATACTGAAAATCATTCACTCCCATAATTCTTGTTGTGTGTTCCCCCAATTAGGAACTTTGCCTGTTCATTTTCTTTGGATGGTGAAACTGTATGTCTAATCACTGGACTGAAATTTTAAGTTATTGCTATAACAGAATTGGAGGGATGGAAGACAATTTCAGCCAAGCAACACCCCTGGAACTGGAATAGGCCAAGAATGCAGGTGGATTTATAAGTAAAAGAATAAAAACGAGTTGGATCAATTTTCACATTTCTGCTCACACTACCCAATAAGCCTACGGAGGCAACTGTCAAACTCAGCATGGCTGGGGAAAAGTACTACAAAAATGCCTTCATATTCTCTTCACAGTTCCCAAATGAGGTCCAAATTTATGTCAGCTCCCTACTATGGGTTTTTATTTTATAATATAGAGATGAGCAAATTGCTTCCCTGTAGATGTCCATATTCTCCATCATTGACTATGCTGGCTTGGACAACTGGGAGCTGCCGTCTGAAATCATCCAGATAGCTGCACTTAGCCCACCATGCTGCAGTGTTATGAATATTGTCTCAAAAAATTTCAAGGAAAAAAGTCTCCAACATTATCCATGTCTAAAAACTCAAACACACACTTGTCTTTGTTTTGTTTACACTAAAATTTAACTAGCCAAAACAGATATACATATACCTTACTTCTTTTGATCTCTTACCAAGTTCACCTGTGGCATTTGCATTGACCCGAATCAGTTTGCTCCATAATTATTTCAATAAGACATGAATTACAGAGTGCTGGAACAAATCAAGCCTGACTAAATGACTAGAGTAAATGACTAAAATGAGGCTATTGTGCTATGGATGTGATATGCGATGACAAGACTGACTGAAAATCACATTAATGCTTGGTAAAGGAAATGGGAAAAGAGGAAGGTGGCATTACAGGTAGACAGGCTCTGTCAAGGAATCCATGCTCCCGAATCTGGATGATTTGAACAGGACAGTTTATGTCTCTTCAAGATCTCTCATCCATAGGATAGCCATAAATCAAAGTGAGAAGTAGCAGAAGAAGGAGGACAACTACAACTACTATTAATAAATTAAAACCCATTGTCTTTTCTTGTTTCTGTATGACCTGCACAAGGATGTAGCTGAGTAGGTATATTCTATCACAACAAACATTTTGTAAGAGCAAAGCATTTTCTTAGAATAAACATCTATTAAATCGCTTTTAGTGACAATAATACCTTTGCTTTGCTTGATACAGTCCTTCTTCATAAGTTTGTACCCAGGTTATTTCATCTCCCCATCCTAGAACAAGAATAGATTCCTATTGGATTATTATCTACATATTTTTGTATGGAATTCAGTTTACACTGAAATCGGTAAAGTGATACTTTTTTCGGTCGGATATATAGAGACTGTCCAGTAGTTATTTTGTGTTATTCAGTCTGTTGTGGGCCTAAATTCTACTGTTAGTTTACAACAAGTGTAGACCTGTTAAATTAGTTGGCTTTACTATGTATTACCTCACCTGTCAACAATCAGTTCAATAGGTCTAGCTGGAACTAACCAACTTGAATTAATACAGTAGGTATCACTTTATATTACATCACATTTATTTCCATAGCATGCACATGTGCAAGCCCACACATAGAAGTAGGAGCATGAAATACTTGCTAAAATATTTTAAAATTCATGTTTTCTCACAGTTCAAAATAGCATCCCAGTATAATCAAATGTTGTTGTTGTTCATTTGTTCAGTCGTCTCCGACTCTTCGTGACCTCATGGACCAGCCAATCAAATGTTGGTGGTCATTATATTTAAGATTGTATTCAAATGGATATAACCACACAGCATTGTTGACTTAATTCAATCCACCTTCCCATTTCAACAATTTAGCTAAACTATTTTGGAGACTTATGTCCTCATAATTGGATTTTCATCCGTGGGATTTATAACTTGGTAGTTGCAGAATGTTTGTATTCAGTAAAGGACTACTGTTATGTTATGATGTGCAGGAGCCAACAAAATAACAAATGCATACTGAGACATATATACAACTAATGAACAATGGGGCTCTTTCACATTAGGACATTGAGACCAATGTCCATCAATCTTGCTGTGCATTGGTCCTGATGAGCAACTATGGAATACCAATGCATGTAGAACACGCTTGACAGTGTACTGGCGCATATTTTTGCAATTCACTAACAGGGTTTCTTAGGGTCTCCTCAACACAACTAAGTATATGTAAGTTACACAATGTATATTGAGATAGAGGATTCTAGCTATTCATTGATTGATTTACATTGACTGAGATTCCACATCAGAGCCTACGGCACTTAACTTTATGAAGATGTGACAATGTCCCCGGCATGATATGCAATCCTTTTGCTGAATTGTGATGATATGTATCAGGACGTGTTACATAATGTCCTGTTGTGTAGTGTCATAATGACCATTGTGCCTAAGAGACATGGCACAATGAGCATGTTGATGGCTCTGCTTCCTAAGAAAATGATGTTGTGTGTTGTTGGAATTTGTTCTAAATTAGTTTAGGATGCTGTAAATAACTAGCAGGATGCTGGTCTATATTTATTTATATCCCAAGTTTTCCCCAGTCCTGGACTCAAACAAGAAAAACTGTAAAACAACAGTAAAAACAAACATAGCTAAAGAATGAACGTCACAACACACTAAAACAGTTTAAAAGTGCATTTAAACTACCAAAATATCAGGACTCATTAAAAACATAATAAAAGGAGCAGCAAACAAAAGTTCTGTCAAAGAAAAATGATCCTTTTAACTAATGCCTTGTTAGATTTCCTCCTTGCATCTCCTGTATGTCTTTTGAATATATGTAAAATTCCTTGAATAGTGACTAAATGTGTAAGAATTCAAAGAACACAATGAAACTACTATACCTCTTGAGAGTGTCTGGGGAAGTCTTTTTTCCTTCTTGATCGCCATTGCAAAATTGGAGGAAACCGCAATTACCATGAAGGACAACCCCAGTGCTGAATGCATCTTCTTTCTTTGTTTCTTGTCCTCAAGATTACCTCATAATAGAAAACAGAGAAATCCTTTAAGTTTGTTTCTATGTGATCACAGATATATTGATTTATATATTGAGAGAGACATTGATTTCTATTATAACAACTAATGCAATAGAGCATAGGGAAAACTACATTTGAGAAGTGGGGAAGGGAGAGAAGAAACAGAAATCTAATTAGATTTTTGGATATTTTGTTTCTTTTTTGTTTTATTTTTATTCATGTTAGCACTTTATGGACTGAGGCGGTACACAGCTTGTTTTTAGCATTTCCGCATCTATTGGATTTTATATTAATATGCTGTTTTATATAAATGTATGTTGTTTTTATGCAAATGTATGTCGTTATGTAAATGTATGCAATTTTTGTCGTAGCACTATCGTGTGCTTTTTGTGAGCCACCCCGAGTCCCTTTGGGGAGATGGTGGCGGGGTATAAATAAAGTTTTTATTATTATTATTATTATTATTATTATTAGTAGTAGTAGTAGTAGTAGTATGCTTCCTACGTTTTGGAAGAAGGAAGAAATGCAGAATGAAGGAAAATACAGAACTTTATAACCTGCATATTTTTGTGTCATAGCTTACTAATTGGATTGAGGAGCAGTTACTTTGCTGATTGAGATTGTATGCGTGTGAGTGTATACACACACACACACATACACACACACAAACTGAACAAGAATATTTTACTTTTCTGTTTGTTTTATGACAATACAATTCCCTGGGATAAGTGAACAGTGGCACTTTCGACTCTGATTGTATGTTAGAAATAACCTGCAGAAGAGAGGATTCTGTGCATACATTTCATTTTTGCAGACTCATTTTCATATATATTTTAGTCCACATCTCTCTGACCCCCTTTTCATAGCAAACACAGCCATTGCCTATGAATAACTGTGGCTAGAATCAAAATTAAAAATAATCCTAGTGAAAACAATTTCAAACAAGGAAGTATTATATAGACCTTTGATGTTCTAAGATCTCATTCTGTTGTGGAAAAAAGGAATTCCAATGGGAAAGTTTAATAGAAAGCAAAAGTAGTAACCGTGGGAAATCCCTCAATTTGAAGTTATTGAACAGGCACCAAAAATGTCACTGAGCCCCTCATGATATTTGATGGATTTTTGATGTCACCTTTAACTAACAATTCAAGAGCTATTTTTGGTCAACATGTTTAGAACATGTTTTGGGTCAACATGTTTAGAACAGTATATTACTGTTAAATAAATAAAACAGTAATATACTAGAGGGTGCTTTCAAACAGTTTTTTCATTGTATAAGTTGAGTATTTCCTATCCAAAATGCTTGGGACTAGAAGTGCGTTGGATTTCAGATTTTTTACATTTTTGGTGCACTTGTATTTTCATAAACAACATACATAATATAATATCTTGGAGGTGGAACCCAAGTCTAAAGATGGAATTCAATTATGTTTCACATTCACCATAAGAACACTGCCTGAAGATAATGTTATACAACATTTGCAGTAAATTTCTGCACAAATAAAATTTGTGTAAACCGAACCATCAGAAAGCAAAGGTGTCACTTTTTCAACCACCTATGTGGGCAATTTTGGATTTTGGATTTTTGAATTCTGGATAAGGGATTTCAACCTATAAAATTATCTTGCCCCATTCATGGGATTTGTCCGTACTTCTGTACAATGTGTCATTGCCCATTTGTAAATCAGGCAAGTCTTTGCCCTCTGTTTTCTTCAACTAACTTTGTCACTACAGACATTTTGAAAGATTTATTGAAGTTTTCTATTCAATAATACTAGAATCATCTGCCTGGAAGTATCCTTAGCTGGTTTTTCATTTCATTGAAGCAACCCAGTTTCTTTTAAACACCATAGTTACATGAAATTAAATAAACCACCACAAATTTCAGCAGTTGATCTATCTCTTCATTTTTGCAGGAGTAGAAGAAAACTGGACATGGCTATTTGACCACTTTATGAATATGGCTCTTCATTCTAATTTTACTGGTTAATACTGTGAAATGCACTTCTAAATGATTATCCTAGATCTCAATCTTAATGGTTATACAATTTGTAGTGCCTTAATTTGATCTGGAAATGGCATTGTAAAAGCATTTGCCTGCACACACAGAGGTTAAAGCAATATTCTTTAGACCTTTTATGCTTCCAAGAAACTGTTGTTGAAGATTGCAATCCTATATTTATCCAGAGGCAAGATCCACTGGATTCAGTGGTACACAGTTTGCAAATGTATACCCATTTACTTGGGAGAATAATAACAAGCATGGTGTAGTAGCTCCAGTGTTGGTTTACGACTCTGGAGATCAGTTCAAAATTTTACTTGGCTATGGAAACACACTGACCAAGTCACACTCTTTTAGCCTCAGAAGGCAAAGGCAAACCCTTTCTGAACACATCTTGCCTAAAAAAAATATGATAGTTTCAGCTTAAGTTCACTAACTCAGAAATGACTCAAAGGCACACAACAACATAGCTGCCCTCTTTTTTTCTGAGATATGAAATTTTTTGTATGAACAAACAGTGTTTGCTCCAAATTCTGTACATCAAAGGTTGGCACGAGAGTTGGTCACATAACTATTAGTCACAGTAGTTACCTACCAACCGAAATCAGAGGTAGTCAGTCAACTATGACTAATTGCCCTCAGTCGCATTGCTTGAAGAAATTCTTAAATCTATGACCAGTCCTATGTACAATGGAACTGCCGAATCTAATAGAATAGCTATATAGGATTTATTACAAATCATTGCTTGTAATAAGACATACCTAACCCAGCTGTTAACATTTTTAAAGAAATAAAATATGATTGAGCATACATCATTGGCTTGCTAGGGAAAAAGTTATTCAGCTTCACAAAACCTTCCACAAGATTTTTTTTAAATTAATATTTTATTAGGGGATAGGAGGTACATAGGCAAGTGCACTACATTTTTAAATTTACTTTGAATAAAATACTGACAAATAAGAAGAAGAAGTGGGGGAAATAGTGAATAATGATTGAAGAAAAAAAGAGAACAAGAAAAGAAACTAGGAAATATACTTGTATATTTTTCTTATTTTAACTTTCTACAAGATATTCAATTCAGCCATGCTTCAAAAATGTACAAGAAAGTCATTACCAACCTTTCCCCTAACAGTCCAATCAAACTAAAATTCTCTTTCTATAGTGTTACAGAAGTCACAGCTGATTTGACCTGTCCCCAAATAACTGTAATTCCGTTGTTTTGACTGTGATAAGATCTATATTCTTTACTGTTGTTAAATGTAAGAGACACCTTTAGCGAATATTTGACAGAAAACAGATAAATCACTCTATGCACTTTGCATATACTTATTGCAAATAAGATAAATCGCAATTAAAAAGCAAGTGAAGTGGAGACTTTGGATTTTGCTCACCGGAGCTGATGAGTTGTGCTGGTGAATGTTCCTAGCCAAGGAAGTAAATGATTTAAAGTGGGTGTGATTTATAGACTTGCGAACACCTGACCTACCTAGGCATTTAATCTAGGGATAGAAGAATGTATTCACTTGGAAAAGGAATTGCAATGCTTGGTGGTATTCCTCCCTCCCTCTCACTGCTCCCTGAACACATCACTCCTGCGAGTTCTCATTCTGGCATACTGAATGCTCAGATTTCTTCTCCCATCTTTGCTTGTATCAGGTGTCATTCTATTGGAACCGAAGAAAAAGTAGTGTTTTGTGTGTGTCGGTAGCTTTTCCTCCAAAATGGTTAAGGTCTGGCTCAAGTTCAGCGAAACCAGAAACCAGCCATGAAAGTTGGAACTGTAGGTGGCATTGTTTCCAATGAATGGGTGAGTTCAGTGGTACTCTGAGATTAGGGATGAAACCAGTGGGGAGATACAAGGGTGACTTTGTGCAAAAGAATGTAATTAAGAAATCAAGATTAAAAAAGTTTAACCTACAAGTTGAAAGGGAAACCTTCCAGAAAAAAAATCAAGCTTAATAAAGATAAGGGTAGACATCATTTGTTCAAATGTGGATTCTAATACTATTCTGTTGATTGTTTAAAATCTTGGATTCAGTATTTGGTTGTTACCTTTGATGACACACCTGCATCATCTTTGACCCCCTTTGTTTGGGGAGAAAGAGGGGATTAGACAATTGAAGGGTTTCCAAGGAACTCTAAGCATGCAAATGAAGAGAGTTCTGGACTCTCTTCCCACAAAATTCTCTTGAGGCTCATCCCAGCTGCTACTGAATGCAAAATACTGAATTTAGCATTGAGGTGAGAAAAGAGCATTCTTACAAATGAGTCAGTGTCACCTAATGTGATAACCCTTGGGTCTGCCACATGGATCTCCTTCCATCCATTACACCATATTTTACCTTAAATGCCAACAAATTTGGCACAATTAACAAATACAAAAACTCAACAAAAAGGAAAATAGTGTACGCAGAAAAAACAAACCCTATGTGATTTGAAGCATCATTATAACTGGGCAACCATGACAGCTTTGTATGTGTATTGAAAGGTGAAAAAAATAAATTGGTGTAGAGTTTTAGCCCCATAGGTATAGACAGGGGCGGCTCAACCCATTACGCAAAGTAAGCATTTGCAGTATAGTTGATTTCTCCCAGGGGCGCTCTTGAGGCACTCTTGGGGGAAAATAGACCTTGACATATGCGAGTTGTAGTTACTGAGTGAGATGTATAGTTCACCTGCAATCAAAGAGCATTCTGAACTCCACCAATGATGGAATTGAACTCCCATGACGAACAGAAAATATATATCAATGATTGGTTGGGGGGGGGGGGGCAAAATACTGTTTGCTTACCGTTGAAAATTACCTAGGGCCGCCTCTGGGTATAGACCATCAGACCATCAAAAGTTCTTGCGGTTGTATCTAATTACAAAGACTATATATATATATATATATATATATATATATATATTGCAGAAACTCTGCACAAAAGAATTATAGACACTCATGTTGCTGTCAGGCCTTCTAATGGTGGTGTCACCCAGGTCCCTTCCACAC